AGACCTCTGCATCTGAATTTCTTCTTCAGACAAAACACAGACCCCTACAAGCTGCCTTAATACCGCCTGTATTTCTGTCTGAGGGCGAGTAAATTGTCGCTGAGATTGGACAGTCCATAGTCTCATCTCTGTTTTTGTTTTGTTGTTTCCCCCCCTCTTTATAAATCTCTCCAGCAATTGGGTAATGGTGACCCAGAACCTAAAATTATGAGAAGCACAACTAATTTCTGTCATTGAACGTTGGTTGTAACTGCAGCGTTGGCAGGAGCATTTGGGAGTTAAACCAGCTGCTCAATTTATTTTATTTTTTTTAAAAATAAGGTTCATCTTGTTGTGTTGAAGCTCCAGTTGGCATCTCTACAGCTTGGCCTTTTACTTTCAAAGCTTTGGAAATGCACAGAAGTTTCCCGTGTCTCAGAACTGAAGTCCCTGCATGTGGCAGTTCTCCCGTTGTCCTTGGCCTTCTTCCTCTGGTCCATCAAACCAGTGCATTAATGGTGGTTTTGTGGGGGCAAAGACACCCCAAATGGCCCAGCCCCTAAGTACCTGCTGACAGTTTTGTATTTCCCAGTGTATCTGTGCTCTGGACAGGATTAGCCCCTGCAGTTTGCCTTAATCTTTGTTGAGGAGAGGTGGGGAGGCAGGTCATGGTCCTCTGAAACAAGACCTACAGGTTGGGTTCCTTCACTGCGTTTTTAGGAGCACCAAAGGGATTTGGGTGCCAAAGACCATGAGCACCTAAATCACTTGGGTACTTCTGAAACTGCCCGTAACCCATCTCCTTTTTAGGATCCCAGACAAATAACCTGAGTTTTTGGAAGAGCTGAGCTCCCAGTAGCCCCCCAGGAGGAAACGGAGCTGCTGGACCCACAGCACTTCTGAAAAATCACGTTAGTCTGGTCTCAAAGCCAAACCTGAGGCTTCTCTTTCCTTCCCCATAAATCTTGCTTCGCAGAGTCCTGCCCGTGCAGCTTCTGTCTCAGGCTGCAGAGCTGCCCTGTCCCCCAGAACAGAACATTTTATGGTGAGGATTATAAGCTCGGTTTAGTGATTTCCGTGAGCTGCCGCAGTTGCCTGTGGTTGCCCTGTTCCTGCAAGCTGGTGGGGTCTAATCGGGGTAGGGGAGCCCTGCAGCCACGGACGTGATTTTGGAAGGCAACTCCTGGGTACTTTGTCTTGTACTTAGAAAGGGGTGAGATGAGAGGAGAAAGGCAGAAGGTGTGTGATTCACATGCCAGCCTGGATCGGACCCAGCATTCACCTCCCACGGTCAGCACAGGCACCCTGGCACGCCATGGAAATAATGGCAGGGACTAAAAAGAAACCTTACCAGTGCGTGCTCCTTTACAGAGAGATTTACTGAAGTTGTTTTGTTTGCTGAAAAGCCTGTCCCCAATTTATTTTCACTTAAATTGAAACCTAAGACAAAAAAGAGAGAGACATTGACTACGCTCCCTGCAAAATTGTATCTCGCTTCAGTATCTCGCTAGGTGAAATGACCCTAGAGAATAGTGCAAAATTTTGGAAACTTAACTTAAATCTTTAGTTTCCCAACGTGAAGAAGCTGGCTTGAGTTCAGGGTGCAGGTGCCTCCGCAGTTGGCATTTCTAGGAAGCGCGCTCTGTGCTTGCAAATCCCACCTGCCCGACACCTTCATTTATCCATTCGGTTCTCACTCCTGTTTGCAATTCCAGGTCGGTCCCAATAAGTGGTCTGTGACTATCGGGAGTCTGGGAGGGGAAGGGGCTCATCTTGCAGATATTTATATTGTATAGAGCAGCTTATTTCTACAAGAAAAAAAAACGTTTTTAAACTCCAACAAAGTATACAGTAGTTTCAGTTCTGGTTTTTGTGACCTTTTTCAGGGATCATTTCAGTGCATTTCTGTATAAAATAAAAATTTAAGGAAAAAAGGATTTTGAAGTATAAAAAAAAAATGCATCTTCTGTACATAGGCAAACTCAAGAATCTTCTCTTCAAACACTGTTTCTTGTAGAAACATGTTGAAATTTTTTTGCTGATTTCTTTGTACTTCAAGAGCATGTAAATAATTTATTAAAAGTGACTATTGTAATTTGGAGTTCTTTTTAAACAGATTCCAGCTCTAAATCATGTCGAGGAGATGGGGAGGAAGAAGGACTAAGTATAGCAAAGGAGCTGGTGGCATTTACAGCTTGTGTCAAGCTTTGTATAATGTAAATTCTGTATAAATATGTTTTTTGTCAAATAAATAGATGGAATTAGAAGCATTAAGAAACTGAAGACAAAAAATTGCCAAGTCAAGGCTTCTTCTTTCCCCCCCGCCCTCAGTCTGAAACCTAATGTGCAAAATCTATTTATTTCAAGCGAGGAAATGTGTACAGTCTAATAGACAACCTAAAATGTATTTAAGCGAGTTTGCAACTGGATTTTTTCAATTTAATATTTGTTTTGTTTTTATGAGTTTCCTCCTTAATTGCCACTGTAGTATTTGTCCAAGTGAAAAGAAACACATCGTAACGGACACTCTAAAACAAATGGGCAGTTTTAAAAGCAAAATGGAAGACCACCCGGCTCCCAATCCTTGCAGTTTTCTGGTTCTATAAACAGGTTGTTTTAATTCACAGTGTGAAAATAAAGGGCCTCCTTTAAAAGGAGGCAGGTAAAATGGTTTGCAATAAATGAAAAAAAATCTCATTTTTTTTTTTAAGTTCCTTAAAAAAACAACTCTGCTTTGAAGATTTAGGATTTCTGCTTTTTCTTTCGTTAAGCAAATTTATAAATTTAGGGATGTTTTGTGCATATAGAATCTGTCACCAGTATGTATCTTGTTTTGAAGAAAGTGTTTTTGTTGTGGATGTGTCATGCTGTATATATTTGTTCATATTTTTGTGAATTGAATACTATGTACCATTGTATTATAGTAACTTTTATAAAGCAAACCATAAATATACTGACTTTTCTTACAGAAAAATTATGTTGTGCTTAATGTATAGCCAGGGCAGCTTTTTTCTCTCAGACCCATGCTGGGAACCATGAGAGCTCGAGGACCCAGATCCAGAAAAAGAGCAGTCCAAAGAGCTGATATTCAGCGAAGTTTACTGAAAATACTAGTTCTGGTGAGCAGGAAATGGCTTTAAGCAGCATTATGTTGCATGAAAGAAATATGTGAGTGATTTAGGTTTATAAACCTAAAGTAAATTTTTTAGTATTAAAAATCCTTACAACCCTTAAGAGCTGAAGCACAGCCAGGCGCTGGCCCCCCTGCCACGGTGCCGGGTGTCCCTAACCTGTCAGCAGTGCTGCCTGGGCAGGTGAGGGGTCCCTGCTCCTGCAGCCTCTGCCCGGGATTTTTCCGACTTCACATCGTTTTTTTTTTTTGTTTAACTTTATGGAGGTGAAAGCTCTTAACCTACAAAGTGAGGTGTTAGTGTTTCTGGTTTGGGTGATGCTGTAAGGCTGTTGAGGCCAGAGGCTCTTTGCTTGCTTTCTTTTAAATCGGTTTATTCAAATCTGAAATGAATTCTGTTACCTGTGGTTTACAGGAGGGGGGAGCCAGGGGAGCTGCTGAGGTTTGATGCGGATGAAAGCACAGCCTGGAGCCGGCCACGTGCCCCCCACCCTCCCTCGCTGGGGGCTGCTGCTGTGAATGTGGTGGTGGTCAGAGTGGCTTCTCTGAGCTTTAGAAAAAGAGATACCCGGAGCAGAGACGAGTGGAGTGGCTGATGGAGGAGGAAACGGAAGAGACAGGAGAGAGCCTGGGCTGTAGGTGACTTCCCAGCTTGGTTCAGGGCTTCTATAGCTGACCACGGCGGCTGAAGGGATGGGGATGCAGGACAGCCAGACCTTGCAGGGCTGGCGTGGGGCAGAAGGCCAGCAGGAGGGTGCTGGCACCTGGAGGGTGGCCAGACCGGGCAGGGGCTTGGGCTGGTGGAAGGACTCGCGTCCGAGGAGCCCGTCCTGAGCCGAGGGCTTGGCAGGGGCTTTGGCTGCTCGGGGTTTGAGCAGCTTCGATGCTGGGAAACTTGGGGAGCAGTGGTGGGTGCACCGGGGCTTTGGAGGGCAGATGTGCAAGAGCGGGGAGACCTGGGGCACCAGAGACCCCGAGATGTTCTTCAGCAGTTGTGTCCTGAGGTCTGCGGACTTCTTGGAGAGCGTTTGACCTGCAGCCACAGCGAACATGGGGTAGAGGGGCTCCAGCCCTGACACGTTAACTTAGCAGGCACTCAAGCTGTGACAGAAAAGGGTTTTATTATGTCAGTGGGGAAAGTCCCCTTGCAAAGGACAGTGACAACACCAGGGTGATGCCCAGAGGGGACTTTGCACGTGTAGCCAGGATCTGAGCCAAGGAATCGCTGCCAATGCCAGCAATTGCTTCTTGAAACACGGGAGAAATTCCAACCCTTCATTAATTCAGGAATTTACAGGTATTAGAGCAAGACTGCATTGCCTTGGGAAGGCTGAAATATGTAAATTCGATTAAGTATCATTCCAGAATGTTGTAGCTACCCTAAAACCATGTGTTTAATCTCAGCAAATTCAAATTCAAGTTTGAGTCTAAAAGCAATTAAAATAAAATCTCACAAAATGAGACGCACGGAGAGGCAAACGCCTCCGTGCTTCCCTCTCCCATCTTCCCGCGTAGCTAAAATTAACAGAAAACTTTGGATAGACTAAATTTAAGCACTCCCAGTTGTTTCTTCTGTCTTCCTCTGTAGCTGCGTGTCTTTGGCACACGCCTTAAATCTGCCCTTTGTTAAGAATTCGGTGGTTTGGATCAGATTAAACTGCTTTATAAGAGCGTTTGCTATTTCCCACGCTCCCTCTCTCAAGAAGTCACCGGAGGGCAGCGCCAGGGCTGGGTCGGGATAGGTGTTGAGTCCTTTTACATCTCCAACTTGGCAGCAGCTTCCCTGAGTTTATGACACTTAGGTCTGGACTATTTACCAAAACATCGGCTGTTTCCCGGTTCGTTTGTGAATCAGCTCGTTAGGGGTGAGGGCGGTGTTTTCTGCTACCCTCTAGATGCGCTTGGTCTCCCCGTTGGGCTCCAGGACGGTCAGGTTTCCTCTTGCGTCTTGATCCATTTCTATTGCTTCAAACAGAGACTTGAAGTTCCCAGCGCCGAAGCCCTGCAGAGACGACAATGTTACAGACCGCGGGGACGGGCAGCGGGTTCGTCAGCTCGGAAGCGGCTGGGAAAGAGCAGCACCAAGAGCTGGCTGCGTGACGGTACTTGATGGCCCTCAGGTCTCGAAGCCAAGATAACTATGGAATCCTCAAACCAACCTGGTGGTTATGCCGCTGGATGACCTCCAGAAAGACCGTGGGTCTGTCTTGAACTGGTTTGGTGAAGATCTGGAGCAAGTAGCCTTTCTCATCAAAATCCACCAGGATTTTCAGTTCCTGGAGAAAAGAAACAGGGCAACAGCTCGAAGACCCACAGAGGAGCAAGGGGATCCCTCTGCATCACCCTCATCCCTGCAAAACACTTTGGGGAGCCAGTCCAGCCCCGGGCAAACCTTTTCCCTAGCAAGCCGGTCTGACTCACCGCTAGCTTGTCGATGTTCTCCTTCACTTTGATTTTGGCAGTTTTCAGCCTCTCCCGCAGCATCTGGTAGTAGCTGGACGGCACGTCCATGAACTGCACGCCCCGCTGCTTCAGGTTGGTGATCTGCAAGGCAGGGGAGATCCCGGCGTGGGTCGGGCTTGGGGCTTGTTAGTGGAGCAGTTTGTGCCAAGAGGATGGCCCGGGACGGACGGTGCCGGGAGGCAGTGATACTTTCCCATGACATTGGCCAACCTCGTGCATGGGGCCTGTCCCACCCTCTTGCTTTGGGAACGGGAGGGCCCAAGATGCCCCCTTCAGGCAATGCAGACAGTTGGCCACCGTGCAAGGATGCTTCATCCCACCCTGACCTCCCGATACCTCTGGAGGCCCTTTGGTTTGGAGAGGAGTCCAAACCCAAGTGCTCAACAGCAGCTGGGCTCCATCCAGACCAGCATCTACCCCAGGCAAAGGTGGGTGATCTGCCCAAGCTCCCCACCAGCCACCCCCCAAGGACAGCACGTGCCGTCGGGGTCCCTGCAGACCCCAATTGCTTTAAGCTGGAGGGACGGGCATCTGCCAGCAGCTCGCAGGTGCAGGCAGGTCCCTTTCTAGAGACTCGCTGGGCAGTTAATCCTGGTTGTAAGACAACCACGCACAAAGCCCGCTCAGCCTGCCTGTGTCCTCGTACCCCGACGGGGGTCATAGTCCACCACCGCCCTGTGACGAGGACCATGCCCGGCGGGCCGGGGCAGGGAGCTGCCCGGGGCCGCACTCACCGCCAAGATGATGTCGGAGGTGTTCAAAAAAAAAGGCGCGGGGGACGGAAGCGGCCCGGGCCCGCCCCCACCGCCAAGATGATGTCGGAGGTGTTCAGCGCGATGTGCTGGACTCCGGCCCCTCCATAGTAGTCGATATATTCCTACAGGGAAAAAACATCACCGCTTAGTGACAGTGCAGCTACAGTGTGCAAAGGGCTGGGCGTGGGCTTAAAAATATGAAAGGAAAATCAGCTCAGGGACACCACAAAATGAAAAAAAGACACTATTGGTGAGATCAGGGATAAACCGGCTCTGTCCCGCGGCTCCCTCAGGGTTTGACAGCCCTTGGCAGACCCAAGCAGAGCCAGGGCTCCTTTCCAGCAGCCACCTTAGCACAGCACGTCCGCGCTGGCTCCGAATCACTGACCCCTTGGTCCCTTTTGCTTCACCAAAGCCCCTCTCGAGGTGGTGGCAGCCTGACGGATCAACCGCCCCTCTCGAGGTGGTGGCGGCCTGACAGATCAACCACCAGCATCTGCTCACCTGAATTTGGGATTTCTTCTTGCCAATCGCCGGCTCGTTGATGGGCATCTTAATGGTCTCTTCATAGTTGGTGACCACGATGGAGCGCAGGGCGCTGAACTCGGTGTGCAGCTGCTTGTCGTCCACTGACCAGAAGCGGTGGAAGAGCAGGTTCTTCTGGTACCTGCCCAGGCCACAAAGGGCACGATCAAGTCCCTCGCTCCATCCCTGCACTAACGAAGCTCTACTCTGGCTTAATCAGCCTCAGCTGCCACCGTCAGAAGCGGTGAGACCAGTAAAGCGGTGCTGCTGCTCCATCCCACCTCCCGCCA